GAAGAGGTTTGGTATCTCACTGAGGCTCTCTCTCTTGTAACTTGTGCTACATTTTGACATTGCTGTAATGGGATGGTCAGCTACACCATGGAAAGTGGTGGAATCAAAATATTGACGGTGGAATCATAATATTAGTCAATACAACCTTTCTCTTGGCACTTGGCAAATACATGTAGGAGAGACTCTAGAAAAGGGGAAAATTCATGCTGGCTGTAAAGAATCTGAGTTCATGAAGACCAAGGTAGTAGTAAGGAGGGAGCACAAGGAACTCTGGCCCCAAGACAAGTAGCAATAGTAAGTGGAGTGTGATTGGAAGGCTGCAGACATGTTTTCCTTAGTAGAAAACTTATTGGGCTTCATGTTGTAAAATGTCCCAAGGATCCTGGGGTTTGTCTGATAGTGTGACCCTGTCTCACAGGATTCTTTTTGTTTTCCAGATTATCAGAACGATCCTAATACCAGGGATTTTCTAGCTGTGACTTGCTGTTCCCTCCCAGCCCATGTGGCTCTTCCCATGCCCCAAGTGTGTCACCGGTGCCCAACGCAATGTGTGTTTGTCAAACCATGGAGGTGGGCAAGTATGGCAAGAATGCCAGTCGAGCTGGAGACAGAGGGGTCCTGCTGGAGCCTTTCATTCACCAGGTGGGTGGCCACAGCAGCATGATGCGCTACGACGACCACACCGTGTGCAAGCCTCTTATTACCAGAGAACAGCGCTTCTATGAGTCCCTGCCCCCAGAAATGAAGGAGTTCACACCTGAGTACAAAGGTGAGTCCCAACACCACTGCATGTTACATGGGGCTTCTGACTGAGGAAACACTGATGTGCTGCTGTGGTGTTACGGTCTTCATCTGGTTCATTTCAAGTCCTTCTATTCCATTGCTAACTATTAATTTGATAGAAACTAAGGTGAAGAAAGGCTTTCTTTGTGCATTCACAATAAGCAAGCAGCTGGAGATGCATATAGAGACATCTAGAGTAGAGTGCTGATTGTACTGCCAGGCTTCAGTCTAATAAAGTCCTTAACCAGATCCCATACATATTTGATGTATGCCAAATAGATGGAAAGGCAGTGAAATTCTCTTCTTAACTCAGTTCAGAGTTCAGTGGGCACATTAGAAACATTACTCTAGCTTTTCTTATCAGTCAAGGAAACAGTTAAATGGAAGGGATTAGTTCTCTTTCTTCAGCTGTGTACTTAGAGTACTCATGGTCTAGGCTTTGGTAGGGGAGAAGAGAAGAGGCACCTGGCAGCATTTAACTTCTGCCTCTGAAGGCTTGACAGAAGCAGAAATGAAAAAGTTGCTTCCTCTGAGCCTCCTTGAAGAGCTCTTAGTATCACCCTGTGTTCACACTGAGTGAAAATAGAACAATAAAGTGACCTTTTGCAACAGGGAGCCTAGGGCTCTTGTTACTTTAAGGATGAAAAAAACAGCCAGGAGAGCCTCATGAAGGGGAGGCTGCTTGTTATAATCTGCCAGAGAGCAGGTCCCCAGGGATTTACCTGCTACCAATACCTATTGCAGAGCTAGCTGCTCTGCAGTAGTACAGTAGGCTAGAGCCCTGCATGGGAGACAAGATAGTACTGCAGGAATGACCAGCAGCAGTAAGCTACCTTGGAGTTAAGCCAGTAAGCTAAATCTGGAAACACTTGCAGCTAGTCCAGGGACTCACCTGAACGGAAGAGGGCAGGGCCTGGGAGATGTATAAACCCAGATCCCTAGCCAGAATGGTCAGTCTGGCCCTGGAGGCCAAAGGGGAAAGATCCTTGCTGCAAGACGGCTGTTGCAGGTTTCATAGTTTCATAGTTGGTAGGGTTGGAAGGGACCTGAGCACATCCATCAAGTCCAACCCCCTGCCGTGGGCAGGAAAGAATGCTGGGGTCAAAGGACCCTGGCTAGGTGATTATCTAGCCTTCTTTTGAAGACCCCCAGGGTAGGACCGAGTGCCACTTCCCTTGGAAGTTGGTTCCAGCTTCTAGCCACCCTGACAGTGAAGTAGTGCCTCCTGATATCTAGTCTGAATCTGCTCTTAGTCAGCTTACTGCTTGGGGGAACAGGGACTCTCCCATTGCCTGCTGGTCCCCCTTGGCAAGTTTATAGTTGGCCACCAGATCCCCTCTCAGCCTTCGCATGTGTTTGACTAACTGAGACCCTGTCAAGCGTGAGAACAAGTGATGAGCTGAGGGTTGATAGGGGATGGAGACACTCAATGAATGGGAGTTTTTAGTAGACAACCAGTGCACTTAAATCTAAGTTGCAGCCAGTGCACTTCTGTTGGTTTGAGTTTGGATCAGTATACCAGGTGAGACTGATGGGGGAGGACAGGAGGTCCCAGAGTGCCAGGGAGGCACGTCAGGCTGGAGTTTGCCAGGACAAGATGCAAGCTACAGTATAGCCCAAGAGGGCAAGGATCTGAGCCAGCAGTCCAGCAGGAGAGTGAGATAGTGAGACAGAGACTGGGCCAAGGGCCCAAAGCCTGAGAGAGACAGTTAGGGTTAGTGACCCATGGCCCTGGAGGGGTGAGAACTAGGGCCAGTGGCCCACAGCCCAAGAGGGATAGAGACTAAACAGGACCAGTGAGCCCACAACCCAGGAAGGGCAAAGACTGGGCCCATAGCCCATGAGAGACGGCGAATAATAAGGGCATAGAGGCCTGAATCATTAGAGAAGAGATTTGGGACCATACCTCCACTGATGTGAAAGATCAGTAACATTTGTGAGGCATGGGCATGGCTGTAGGGGAAGGTCAGAGGCTGTGAACAGCTCATAAGGCAACAGGTCCCCTGGGGACATGTACAGGCCAGGGTAGGGGTTTGTTGAGGGGAGGGGGTTCAACTGAGATCAGTGGGATCTGCGAGGGATCTGCTGGCAGGAAGATAGACTAAGGCTCAGTCTAAGACCCTTGGGCAGCCTACCTTTCAAAACCTACTAAAAAGATCAAGATGTGGCAGGTGAAAGAAAAGGGAGAGAGTATCTTAGAGGCTGAGCAGGGCAGGAACCATTTGACCACCAAGGGGCATCATAGCCACCCCTGGGGAGCGATTCTTCTCTGTCTGCTTTGTGGGTTTGTTAGAATTGTTTCTACTTTACAGACTCTAGTTCTGAAGGGACCCATGTACAGGGATAGGTGCCCTGTGCAAAATGATAGAAAGCAGAGTAAATTGCTGAAGATAACATTTTAAACTGGTGGTTTGAAACTTGACCTCACTTTTTCCTGGTATGCTTGACATTTTGGGGAAGTAGGAGTGCAGTAGGCAGGAGCAAAGAAGCATGAGCTGTCTCAGCATAGATTGGTGCCTTGCCTGCTGTGCAGGCATTCTACCTTTCTTAAAGGTACATTTGGGTTCCCTCTCTCAGGTGAACTGTGTTTATATCGGAATATGAAATGTTAGACAAGAACTTCTTTAAGGGAGAGCCTGTTTCCTGGCTTTCCTCCAGCCTGTCAGCATTATCATCTCTGGATGGTTCTGGGTTAGGAATATATCACAAGTCCAACATAAACTCCAGATCAGAATGCACCTCTCTGTGTGGCACATGATCACCTTTTAAGATGTCTATAATAGCTCTGTGTTTCTAAAAAGAAATTGCTTCAAAGTCTGTCTCTGGGTTGATGTGAACAGCAGATGCCATTGGTTAGCCAGGAATTGTTTCTTTACCCTATGATACCTACCTATTTCTAGCTATACAGGGTGCAGGGTAGCCAACTTTTTTTATTTGAAGAACAGATGCTCTTAGCTGAGCAGGTGTGCTGTGCCACAGCAGCAAACTAAATTCTGATCCTCATGGAGGACTGGAGGAGCTGTCCAGAGGCATGAGAGCTGAGCACACATGCAGTTTTGTTGTAGTGAGGCACCGAGCCCAGTAATGTTCGGCCGTGTGTGTGAAGGATAACTGCATTTCCTCCTACTGTAGCCCTGCCACTGAATAATTTTGGTGTTACTTTTAATAACAATAATAGTTGGTAGAAAGTGATTTATGCACAAGTGTTACTCTCAACTTGGCAACTTTTCTCTTAAAGTTGAGTGTTATAGGGCAGGGCTGGCAGTCCACTGGCCACATGCAGCCCCAAAAGTGTTGGCATGCAGATCACAGGCTCCCACCTGCCTCTTCCTCCTCCTTCCAGTTGCTATTGCCCCTGTGGCTGAGAGGGGGCTGAAGTGCCCAAGCTGTGTGTGTGGCAAAGAATGGAGCCAGGCTGCACACACTGCAAGTGGGTGGTATGCACAGTAGGAAGAGGAGTGGGTGATGCACTTTGCAGCAGGAGGGAGTTGTGCTGCCTGTGCTATGACCGCAACGTAGGGGGGAGCACTGGGGAGCTGGGAGGTCTGCCTGTGTAGTGTGTGGCCCCTGTGGTATATAGCCTCCGGGTGATGGATTAGTGGGCACATGATGAAGTCAGCACAGATACCTCTTTTATATGCACACTTTGGTTTGTAGAGTACAGTTGGCTGGACACTTAACTGCTGTAAATTGGCATTGGTTAACTTCAGTCTGCATGGATATCAGAGAGATGTATACACAGTGGCTGTGATTAATTGTGTCCAGTTTGGAAAATCCTCTCAGAAGGACTCCCTTTGCTTAAAATGAAACACTTCTTTCCAAGTGGGAAGCAGTTTAAGTGCAATTACCGAAAATACAGAAGTGGGAAGAGCTGCTGCTTTACATCTCTTTC